CTGAACGTGGAAAATTCATTTCTCTTCCCAATGACACCGCATGTACAAATTCAGGTCAGGTGTAGTCTTGAAATACGTCAAATTCCTGTGCCTCATCGATGAATTAATTCGCCCTATTGGATCTCTTTTTCTCTGTGCTCTACCTGACCGCGTCGCNCTTCTATTGGGTTGTTGCATAAGTTCGTGCGCTTTTATTCAAATTGAGTTATTCCGGCAAAAGTCCACTTTTCCGGAGGAGTGTCTCAAAGCAATCGATAGCGGCTTTTCTGCTCTTCGCAACTGTGTTAGACGATATACTGCAGTTTTGTTTCGTCCGGATCTTCAGCATGATCAAATGAAGTGTCAGGTGGACATAACATGACATAATACATAATGAGTGAACGATCTCGTGGAACTCAGTAGAGTGTGATTTTGAGATGGATACAGTCGGAGTTTGAAAGAGATTCTGACAGAGCGAAGTGGAGGATATGAAATGCATGAAACGAAGAAGATGGAATTAACAACTTGTTACTGTTCCTTCCTACTGGATCATTATCTGGCGATTATCGCATAAGCCATCGGCTCGATGACTTTGTTTCGTTAACATAAGTCATTTAAGAGAGGAGAGAACATAATGCTGCACTTCAAGTTTGTGGATATTTTGATGGTGTTAGATCGACAAGAATCTTAGCTTTATAAAGATATATATTTTGACCGGAAAATCTCGCTCCACTACCCAGAGATCCTCAATTTTCTGGAAGTATGTCACTGAGATTTTCATATGTTTTGTGTTTTGTTCTTTTGGATTTTGTACACTGAAATGGACTCACGGTGAATAATTTTTGCAAATGATCAGAAAAATTCTTCATATGATACATTTGAAAAAACATACAATTGTATGATCGAATAAAATCATTCGTAATAAGAGGAATCGAATCAGAGACTTTGTCCTTTCAAGCAAAAATTTGTCCTTTCGATAAGAGAACCGTTGAGAGAGTTCTTCTATTCGGCAAGCGGTCTGTATATGGCATGACTGAGTGAATTCTGCAATAATCATGCTAAATTAGTGTCAATTTGAGTGACATTTTGATTCGTATCACATCATTATCACGATCGTTCTCATATGATGGAAGGAAACATTCTTTGCTCCTTACTCATATCACACACTTTGCATATGATAATTCCTTCTGATGCTATCTATAAGTGAACTGCATTTTATTCATATTAATTCCAGTCTATTAGAGCTTATCATTACTGGTAATATCACGACGAGATTTTGACCTTGAGAAAGAAACAGACTTGAATGGCATTCGTAACATTGAGAGTAAGTTGAATATAAAACCAGTTGATATTATTCGATGGGTGTGGGTATTTTGAGTATATGAAATCAGATTTTGATGGATATAAATGTGTGAAATGGGATGAGATTGGTTCTCTGAAATAGAATATGCGAACAATTTGGGTTATTTAATACGGCTTAAGGTATGAATTCAACTGAAATATGATATTGTGGTGCTTTTAGGAATGTTAAAACTGTGGGGAAGGGAAGGGGTGCACGAGGATGCAGTGTCTCTTTGAACAGGAGATAGATATCCTATCCTCTGTTGGACTTACAGAACAAATGAAATAAAATCCAGTTCCCGTTGGATATAATGATGAATAATGGCTAGATATATGGAGATAGTGATAATGAAGATCGGATATATCCAGTATGTCCACCACAACTTTCAAATACTATCATAAATTCACCGGAAATTCAATTGATTGCATTCTCGAGGTTTCGTTTTCAGTTATCAGAATTTCACGTTCATTTTGATGCGTTTCTTGAGGTTTTAGTTGAATAAGAAATGAATTTTTAAGAATTATTAGCGAATTGAATACTCCGACAGCACATCATTACTGTTGTTTTCGGGTGACAGACATCTCACCGTGAATCTTCTTCCACTTGAACATTTCCCTTTCTCTGTTTGTTTCTTCTTAACGATATCCCTCTCGATTCGTATTCCGCTCCTCGCCGAGGTATACCAACTGATCTCGTCTGCTCTCTTCGTTTCTCGACCTTCATATATTCTTAGTAATGTTTTGCTCTGTCTTCGTTTCTTTTGTCCTTTTCTTCGTAATTACTACTTAAGATAACCAGTAGTCGAATTAATGGTGTCAAGAAAATTTATGACCATTTCTCTCTAAAGAGAAAGGGTTTGGGAGTGAGAGAGGGAGAGATCGCTAGAAGGTATATTTATTGTTTGAGTTAATTATAGGTTATAGTAATAAAGACAATCGAGAACAGCATCGATTTAGGAGGAGAAGAGAGAAACACGAAAAAATATGTTCATTAACTCATAGAATTGGAACTTGTTATGAGAATAGCTGGCCTCATTGAGATACTCGAGATCTTAAGGGTAAGTGAAAGTAATAGTGTCTCGGGAGGAAGAAGAGAAAGAAAGGACATCTTTGGGTGGAAGACGATAAATTTAGATAAATAGCTGAGATCAGTTGAGTCGGTGTAAAGTGATTAGTTATGTTCAATGATTTATTATTATTACTGTTATTATTATTATGTCGTTGTTGTTGCTACTGAATAAAATTTACGATTGGACTGTCGTATTGTTTGATTAATAGAGGTGACGATTTGAGTGCGAGTTTTTGATTTATTGTTAGTGTAGTCATTTATCATGATGCCTTTGTTTGAGACGGTCTTACAGTTTTAATTTACGGTAGGGGAAGGGGGGGGGGATTGTTGGGACGGCACTTTTGTGCATCACCTACTGAATTGATGTACAGTATCTCTAAATGTACTGTACATCAAGCATTTGGTACGGTATTGCTGGGGATGCTAGTGCGGGAAAATGTATCTTTTTCAGTAGTAGATCAAATAGTTTGCATCATGATTAGGTGTAGATTGAGTCGCACGGGAATTTGGAGTGTAGAAGATTGGTTTGGAATCGGATTTCAATTAAAAATTCAATTTCAGAGAGTTGAGCGAATGGGTATTCCAAAGTAATAGCCTTAGAAAGATTAGTAACCTCGAGAGTTCAATTCGAACTTTGTGATCGCTCGAATAACACATCGACATATTACATACGAAGCGATAAAAAATGGAGAAGTCAGGCTGGAAACCACGCAAAACGAAAGGTTAGTAGAAGTTTGCTTGAATTACAGATCTGGTTTTGGTACTCATTTAGGCACTGGGCAACCGGAAATTGAGAAACTTTTTCATTGAGAAACTCAACAATATATTTGTGCTAAAACTTGAATCGTTTCATAACTTTGCCATGATGAATATGAAGAGTTTGCGATGAATATACAAACTTCATGAGTTGCAGTATTTTAAGCAATATTCATCACGATGTATGATATCATTTTTTGAATTTTCCTGACAATGAGGAATTTGAATGTGCATTACTTATGCTCTGTTCATGTGGCCATACGATATAAAAATCCATATTCTTTGGTAAAATGCAATCATACAAGTCTATATACATTGCTCTGATATTATCATTCATAAGGTAGTCTTGCATTATGATCTACGATGTCTAATGTCCACATCTCGTTGCACAATTCCTTTCTTGCGCGTGTGCATCCACAACATCTTGAATTGCATTCATTCAATATGACATTTCTTTTA